TTTTTTTTTTTTTTTTTTAATTTTAAGGCATAGTTTAGTTTCAGAATTAAGTAGCTGGTTAGGTAGTTGGAGGACTTAGTAACAAAAAAGAAGCCAGCTTTACTGGGTGGGGGAAAGAAATTAGAACAAAGAGAAAAGTTATCAAAGTGTACCAACTACCAATTTAGTAAGATGGATAAAACTTATTTGCTTGATTGCGATTTTAAAATATTCCCTTTAAAATAAGGAGGGTGATCTTCTTTAATAGATACTCACTTAGAAGTTTTCAAATTAGGGCATACATGCACATTTAAAAATTGTTTTTAGATAAGCATGGCTTAAATATGTTGTACACAATGCACATTCATAAGCTGTTGGAAGTTTTAAAATATACTCAGCAAGAACTTTTCAATAATAGCTAACTTTGATTATTAGTCTCATATTTCATGGTGAACTAAGAAAAAAACACGAGGGTATGAAATGTAGTTTTAACAATAATAAATAAATACATATTGAAATCTATTTTAAGTTATTTGCCCAAAATATTTGGCTTTCCTGAAGATTTAATTCTTTGTTGATTGGTCAGAGTAAATTCATATTTGTACTTTCGGTCTTCTTTTCTTTACTGGTTTTGATTATTATATAGGATAATTCCCTTTCATTTGAACACATTGTATTTTGTTAGTTAAAAAAATTTTTTTATCCTGCCAAGCAGAAACAGAAAAGCCTGATTTCAGTAACATTTTTTTTTTTTACTGTATCAAAACAAAAATGACTTAAGTGGAGTTTTGTTTTAAAAAATTGTCTTTGATACCATATGTATCTTTTCCTGCCATTCTCATCAGAGGAAAGAAAAGGCGGGGGAGGGGAAAGTATGAACTGTAATACATATTCCATATGTATTTATTAGAATTTACTTTTCAAAGATAAAAAATCCCCACAAACCTGTCTGCTTGTGCAACATTGTCCACTTAAATATTAAATTATAGGCAGCACTATGAAATGAACAATTTTAAGGAGTTCAAAACTGGGACGTGTTTGGAGTGATTAACTGCTTTCAAAACTTTATTTTAGACCCTTTAAACAAAAAGTGCCACCAAGAATTGATTTTCCCATTATGAAATGTACTGACTTTATGCAGTCTCATATGGTGGGAGAATAATCTTGATTTTTATAAAGCAATACATCAAATATCATTTTACTAACAAGGTCATAGAGCTTAAAAACTCTTAGGGCATTTTTTGACTGCATGGTATTATAAATTCTATGAGTTGGAGGTGGGGAACTAGATCAAGATACAATTTATTTTTAATAATAACAGATATGAGAAAGTCATTTGCCATAATATGACATCTCACTGAAAGTTAAAATTATAAATGTATACAATTATATATTTTGGTGGGGATAGACCTGAAAAAGGTTTAAATAATTATCTGAATTAAGTCCAAAAATACCAAGAGAAAGTGATTTTTTGTTTTTGAGGCATACCTGTTTGCTCTCATAATAATTGTCTAATGCCTTCTGTGGTAGCTTTCGCTTTGAAAGGCAATCCCTGACCATTATCTGTTTGTTTGTTGATTATGTGCTGTAAGAGTTTGGGAAGTAGGTTAGCTACTTGTATACATAGTTAATACAATAGTCTTCAAAAAGAGTTCAGTGTGAAGAAGCATAACTTTTCTTGCTGTGACATTATTATTATATTTTAGCCTTGATTGGTGAAACAGCAGATTCTCAACTAGCTTGAAATTATTCTATGATAATTAACTACCACGTCTGATTTAAAATTTCTTAATTTTTTTTATTTTAGTTAAATATGAAGTGACCCGTTCAAGTAAGGCTTGACATAAGCTGACTGATTAAATGGTTACAATTTTTTTCCCCTGTGAAATTCTTCCAGATAGAGTCAGGATTTTGATGTTTAGAGTAAAGAATGGGATAATTTCAATGACAGGATGAGTTCTAATAACATCATAATTTTTGGAGGGAATACCTAGCCACAGTTCAAGTGTCTCCTCTTAGCTGCTTGCTTATAACATTTTTCATATCACAGAGGCAGATTTTGTGTGTGATGTCTTATCTTTGACTCACAAGTTGGGGTTAAAACTCAAAGGGAATCTTTGGCAAGGAGAATCCAAAACTAGCTGTGCATTCTATATTTTCATACAATGTTCTTGAACTTGGGTGGAGTTAGCAGCATTGAAGTCAAACAGAAATGTACTCAATCAACCAAGATGTATTAGTGTGACACAGTATTTCACACCTTTTCAAAGTGTCTCATTACACTATTTTGGGTAATGACTCTTAATTTTGGACTCAACTGGGAAAGATGAAGTTTTATTACAAGTGAATGTGTAAGAATCTGAGCCCCCTTATTCCCATGCCTCTCTCAGAAAACACAAAGGATGTAATGATATTTAAAAAATTCATCCACCAGCTAGAAAATAAGAGGCTTGCTTTTGGGAAGGGTTGTTCAAAACCAAGTTTAGCTGGACTAAAAATAGGTTGTTTTTGTGTCATTGCTGTTTTTGGTATTCCATTAGAGAGCACGCAAAAAGGCCTGTAGGATCCAGAAGTTTATGGCTGTTGCATTCAGAAACAATATCTACTACAGAAGTTCAAATGAACCCAGTGGGGGAGGTCTGAGGTTTAATGTGGCTCATTTCAGATTTTCATGTAGTATTTGAAATATAATTATGTTATGTGATTGCTTTGGTGAGTTAACATTAAATAGTTAAAAAAAGCCTTTAACTTATTTTCCCTCCTACCATCTTGCTTTAAAAAAGTGACATTTTTATAATTCAAACAAAGAGTACCAAATTCCATAAAGTTATCTAAAACTAAATACTCTTGCCCCCAGACAGAAGCTCTTTTTTGGAAAGGGGAAAATGATAGTCACATAATCTTTGTCATGTATGGATTTGAAGGGAGGTGATGTGGTAAGGGAACCCTAAAAAGGTCCTAGCATAGTGGAAAGTCCAAAGTACAATAATCAGAAATGCTGTCATATTTATCTTACAAACTAATCTTCTTTATATATTTCTTTTGATGTTCCCAGTACTTTAAGTTATTGATGCAAGTGCATTTTTTCCTATTGATTGTTTCATTATATCCTGCCACAGCTGCGTAGATTTGATTAACCACCCTTTCAGTTCATGGTTCTTCATTGGTAGATAAACACATTTTTAGTATATCAATAAGTTCGAAAGGAATTCACAGGACAGCAGAGAGGTTCTTTCATACATTTGGGGAAACAAACAAACAAAAAAAGACAGGGCAAGTTTATAGTCAGGAGCCATATTTCAGCAGCTTTCTCTTTCCTTTGGTAACATGTCAAAAATGCAGGTGATTTAAATTTCCTTGCACATAGAGGAATGAAGAAGTTTGGAATTTTTATGCATGATCAGGACCTGTGTTTGGGAAAATGTAAACTCATCACAGTGGAAAATGTGTTGTTTGGAGTCTGGGGGTGAAAACAAAGCTGATGGTTTTGGAGAGATTGCCGGAGCCAGATGGCCTAGTACTTCCCCAGTCTGGCGGTCCAACTGCTCCCTCCTGGATAATATACAGCCATTTGTTCAGGGATATTTACGCTAGAGCTGTTTCCATGTGAATGTTTGAACAGCATTAAAAACGAACATATTAGTAGTGATGCATTTATCGAACTCCTATGACTATACCAATAGTCTGTTCTTAGGTCTTTACTTATATTGGTGACAGGAGCGAAGGAGTGTTTGGATGTTGGTGAATTGTTTATATAGTTGTTGAGCAAAAATGATTTGGTCTCAGTGAATAATTAAAATATGTAAGCATTTGGAGCCAAACTAATGAAAATAATGATAGCACCTACCTTGAAGCTCTGTTGTGAGAATTCATACATGCAAAGTGCTTAGAATAGTGACTGGCACATATTAAGTGCTTAATAAATTAGCTGCTTTTATTATTTTATTATTATTATTATTGTCCCATTGGGTTGACAAAACCAGCTGTATCTACTAATATACATGTAAATATAATTATCATATGAGTGAAATATCTCA